CTTAGGGAAAAAGACACTCTTGATCTTTGCTGCTGCCCTTATCCCTACCCACCTCCCAAGCCGCCTCTCTTATTCTTCTCAAAAAAATTTTTTTAATTAAAAAAGCATCCATTCATTCATTGTTGTTGTTAAATGGAAGCTACTATCTCCAGTAGCCATTTGACTGGTTTCCTGATATTAAATTCTCCCAGACTTTACTCTCTGTAGGAGAGTGTATGAATGTGGGTGCTGAGTGAGGACAGGGGTGGGCTGGCCCAGGTAGAGGTTACAGCTCTCCTCTGCTTTGTGACAGTGGAACTGGGACCATGACCTACACTCCGCCTCTGTCAGCTGCCTGGGAGGCAGATAAGATGAGGACACACGCGCATTTCCTTCGTGCTTGCTATTCGTGTCAGCGTCATCTCAGCAATGGCATTTCACTTCCAGGTTCCAGTTCTTTCCACACTGGTAGAATCAGCTTTATTGCTCTCTTCGGGGGCTTGGCAAGGCAGCTCTCCCTGCTGAGAGGTCTGGGTCCCATCTCAGCAGGGCTCCTCCCCTGAGCTCCCAGGCTGCTAGCCCCCACTGGGCAGCGCCCTGTCATCAAAGGACTAGATGGCAGCTCTGTGGGGTCCCTTCATCAACCTTCTAGGTTCTCGTGACCCAATTCTCACTGCCATCCTCAGTCCTCAAGGAGGTAGCTGTTTCCTGTGGTTACTTTCTCTGTGACTTCAACATCCTCTTTGTGCCTTTTCAGTTTTCCAGTAGCCATTTAACCAACTTCCTGATATTTCTTCCTGGCCCCCTACTGATACAGGCAGAGACAAGACAGAGCCCCGAGCCCCTTCCATGTGGCTCTTAGGGTCTAGTGGGAGACAGACACTAAGCAAGCAGTTATAGAAATTAGTGTTTATTAAGAGTAGAAGTGACTGCCATGAAGAAAAAGTACAAAGTGTATTTGCCTAATAGAAGTCTCTTTGGTAAACAAACCCATGTAGCATTGTTGAATGCAGTATCTCCATGGCTTATTCGACCAAGAAACTTCCTGGTGAGCCTATTAACATCCAGCATTAGGGTTCTACAGAGTAGTACACTGTTCTAATGGAAAAGGGAGGTCATTGGAGAAGCGTGAGCCAGGAACTGGGGTATGAGCATCTCCCATGTTCCTCTGGTAGCATCCGGTATGTGGGACGCATCTCCGTACTAACATTCCAGCCCCAAGACCATCTGACAATCTCCTTTGCTCTTATTCCAGAGCCACAAGCAACTTTCTGCTTGTCATTGACTTACTGAGTCAATTTCCCTGTACAGAAAAGATGCTCTTAAAAGCTTGCCCAAGCATTCTCATCTGCCTGGGAGGTTCCTTCTCATTGTAGAGCAAGGTTTCTTGACCTGTGTCTTTAGAGGGACCATCAGTCCCTCAGGACTATATGCAAAACGTGCACATGTTTGTATGTACACATGTGTGGACATTCTTCTAGAAAGAGGGTCCATAGCTTTTGTTGTTTCTAGTGGGACTATGGTTCCAGAAAAGATTAGGAAACACATTGTTAAAGGAAAATGTTCCTGTTTTAATTTGTACATTGATCTCTCGTGAGTTTGATAAATCACTTCTCAGTCTGACTAGCCTGGTATTCACTCATTAAACAGAGGTTCTGCACCTCCCAAGGTACTCTCCTGGCTGAGGGGCCACCCAGCTTTCTTGGACTGCATGGTATCACTCCTCAAGAAGCCTTCACCCATGGATTTTTCTCTGGCTGGAAAATCTTCTCATCCCTTCCAGTCAACTCTCACTTACTCTGCAGTTCTCACTGAGATGCCATGTTCTCCTTAAAACTGTCTCTGTCTCACTGATTCTCGATTAGATACCTCTTCTTTGTGCTCTCACAGCATCAGTCCCTCTTCTCTGAGCCTCCCCCCGACCAAGTGTTTCCCATTCACTGTGCTTATTCCATGATGTAATCAGTTGTTCATGGCATTGTCTGCTACCTGTCAGAATATAAGCTCTACGAGGAAAGTGGTCCACATCTAGCTTTGCTACACCTTACCTCCAGTACCAAGCACAGTGTCGGACACGTAGTGGGTGTCCATTAAGACATTATTTGAAAGAATGCATGGAAAAACCAGCCCTTCAGTTTTTCAGGGTTGTACTTGAATGCTGCCCCAGCTAGGCAATGAATGTTCTCCACCCACTTTGTGACTATGTGCAGATTTGTCACTCATGAGAAATCCAAGCAGTCCAACATTCAAATAATGACTTGTATCTTTTATCAGTAAAAGCTTCTTTCTTACTAAATGCACACATGTGTGTGTGTGCACACATATGTACAAAGCTATGTATGGGTAAAGAGAAAACATGCTGCAGAGTGTTGGAATGGATGTACCTGCATTTCTCAGAAAGCGATTCCTGTAGTCCTTGACTATCCTTGTGATGGGATTATAGAAGCCATCTCCACAGTCATAACAGCCCTTGGGGATTTTTCTAGGTGGGTCCATATTGGTGAGCTGAGAGATACCTTGAAAGGACATGATGTATAGTTAGTTCACTACTAAGGTGAAATCCAAACCCAGTGTCCACGTAAAGTCCACTTTCGGCTGATTGATTGTGTGACTATCTGACTCTACAATTGGACTAAACACTCCCTGCTCAGGGCAAGGAGCAAAAATGGGAAGAACAGTGCCCCGAGGGAGCTTTCTCAAAATGGCTCTGTGAGTAGGGTTTTAGGAACTAGACCTTCTGTCTTCTCTTAATTCTATCCTCCTGTTCAATTTATCTTCTTTTTAAAGTTACTTCAGTAGGCCACAATCCACTGATTTAAAATAATCTTTAGTTTCCCTCTCAAGTTTGGATTGAAGAAAAGGAAAGATGCCTGGTACCTGAAGGCTTCAAGCCATAGCATATCTCAGTGTAAAACCTCCGGTCATAGCTGTCACAGTAATGCCAGTTCTCAGCATCATATTGCAGCCCATCTGCGAAGGTATACCTGCCCTGGAAGACAAAGAGCACACATATGTGTCGGAAGAAGACTTTGGCCAAGAATGCCAGATGTCAAGGGAAGAGGTGGCCTTTTCACTGCCACAGAAAATAAGTGACAACTATCACAATGATTATGATTGTGACAATTAGAGGGGATGGATATAAAGCACTGAGTTCTGTGTCTGCCACTCAAAGTATGGTAACTCTCTGTATGACTATAGCTCTCTCTGGTCTTTGGCTCCTCACTTGTAAAATTACTATGCCATTGGAAAAATAATTATGTATTTTTGCATTGAAAAACAGAAAAAAATGTGTTATGACTTTTCTGACAATCCAATAGGATAAAGATGATATGCACTTAAGAGGGTTGATTGAGAACTCAATGAGAGAGTACATTAATAAATCAGTAAAGTGCTTGCCTGTGATGGTTAATTTTATGTGCGAACTTGACTGGGCTAAGGGATGCCCAGGTGTCTAGTAAAACTTTATTTTTGAATGTGTCTGTGCGGGTATTTCTGCAACAGATTAATTCTGAATTGATACAATGAGTAGTTTGCTCTTACTAATGTGACTAGACATCCAATCTACTGAGGGCCTGAATAGAACAAAAAGGCAGAGGAAAGGTGAATTTGCTTTCTGTTTGAGCTGGGATACCCATCTTATCCTGCCCTTGGACATCAGCACTCCTGGGTCTCAGGCCCTGGGACTCTGACTGGAACTTACACCATTGAATCCCCTGGTCCTCGGGTCTTTGGATTTGAACTGGAACTATACCACTGACTTTCCCAGGTTTCTGGCTTGCTAAAGGCAGATTGTGGGACTTCTCAGCCTCTATAATCTCATAAGCCAATCCCTCATAATAAATATCTTTCTACATATATCCTATTGGTCCTGTTTCTCTGAAGAAGCCTGACAAACACACTGTATGTACTGGGTCATCAGGAAAGTCATAATGCATAGAAAAATACCTCATGAGTTTTCCAATGACCCAATATGAATACAAAGTATGTATGCAAAGTATCTGATAAAAGACATTACTCTTTTATTATTATTATTATCATAGCTAAAAAGGTCAGCACAATTAGCTACACATACATTCTGTATTTGGTGCCCTGCTGCTAAAGAAAACCTCAGGATGTAGAAGTTGCATTGGCCTAGGTATCAGGAAACATGGGTGGAAATTCCAATAATACTATTAATTCACTGTGTGACCTTGGATAAGTCACATCCCCTTCCTGGGGCTTAAATTCTCCAAGCTATAAAACAAGGAGTGTTTCTTAACCTTTTTAGGTCATGAGTCAGGCCCCAATATACCCTTAGTAGAACTGATAAAAACTATAGGACCTTTTCTGGGAGAAAAACATAGTCTCACATATTCAGAGACTTTTGTATGTAAACCAGATGGTGTCACTGACCCCCTGAATTATATCCACAGCCCACAACCCTGGGACTGGATGACCTCTGGTGATAGTAGCAGTGGTGGAGGTACTAATAGTAAGAACCAATATGTGTGAGTGCCTATGTGCCAAGCACTTAGCAAAGTGTGCACATGGATTACCTCATTAACTCTTACCACCATCCTAGGGGGTGCCTAGCACCACTGTGGGCCCCCAAAGATGTCCGTATCTGCTGGAACCTGTGAATATATGGCCTTATGTGGCAAAAGGGTGCAGATGCACTTAAATTAAGGATCTTAAAATGAGGGGATCATTTTGGATTTTCTGGGGTGCTCCCAGAGTAATCACAAGGGTCCTCATGAAAGGTAAGAAGGTCAAGGTGAGAGACTACCAAACAATGACAGAAGCTGAGGTTAGAGTGATGCATGGTTATGAGCCAGGGAATGCAGGCAGCTTATAGAAGCTGGGAAAAGCAAGGGAAGGATTCTCCCCTCAAGTGTCCAGAAAGAAGGCAGCTTGCTGATCCATTTCAGAATTCCAGTCTCCAGAACTGTAAGAGAATACATGTGTATTGATTTAAGACACTAATTTGTGGTAATTTTTTAGAATAGCCATAGGTAATATGATTGGCATTCCCAGTTTACAGATGAGTAATTTGAATCTTAGCGAGTTAAAGTCATGGGCCCAAGAGCAGCGTGGCATAACAGAATTCAAACTCTTTGTGGCCTCTCCAGGGCCCCTTCTAAATCCAAAAGGAGAAGATTCTAGCACCCTGGGAAAGCAAGAAGCTGGAGGAGAGATGGAAGGAGAGAACACCAGGGAGGGCAGGGCACCATAACAGCGGGAGCTCTTCCTGGCCGAGGAGTGCCTCTCTGTAGCCCTGGCTGATCACCTTGATGACCAAGCCCTTCTCCCAGGTGGCGTCGAATCGGCTACCGCTGGGGAAGTACAGGGTCCCTTCGCCATGGAACATGCCGTCCTTCATTTCCCCAACATATCTTGTTTCTGTAGGGAGGATGTATTCGGCTTTGCCCTCCATCCTGCAATGACACAGGAAAGCCACTGAGTCCTCCAAGGCAGCTGGAGGATCAGAGATGGCAGAGGAGGGAGAGAGAGTATCATCCTCTTCCTCAGCATGCCTGGACATTATGGCTCCCACAACATTCTGTTCAAAAACAAAACTTTTATTTTGTTTCCCTTAGAAGCTAAAAACTGAGAGGGACTGTGTTGCAAGTGGTCCAGAGTTTGGTCTGCTCATCTCCTCGCAAGGACATGCTGTCCTGAGAATGCCCACTGAGATATCCCCTTGGTAGGTCCAGAGAGGGTAGGGATGTATTCGAAGCCACAGAGTGGAGATTAGAGCTCAAATTTTCTGGCAGCTGGATCTGCGTCTTCCCTCTCCACTACCAGCCCACCCCTGCCCAATTATACCAGGAGTGAGATATTTAGAAAAAGTATGACATTTAGAGATAGGAGACAGGAGTTTGAATCTTATTTCACCATTTTTGAGATGTAGCCTCTTGGAGATGTTCTCAAACCTCTGTCTACCTCTCTTCTTCCTTTCTGTCCATCTCTCCCTCTCTTCCTCCCTTTATTCCTACAAATATTTATAGAGTACATACTATGTGCCAAGTGCTGTGCTGAGACTGGTCTGCTAGATACAACACAGATATGACAGTGATCAACACAGATGTGTCCCTGTCCTTACAGGGACTCACAGTCTATGGGGGGGGGGTACAATGAATTTATATAAACCAAATAATATATTATGTACTTTTTTGGGAGGGTCTGGCTTGTTTTACTCAACATAATTCCTTTAAAACTCATTAATGTTCTTGTGTGTGTACCAATAGTTCACACCTATTGCTGAGCAGGTTTCCAGTGAATGGATATACCATAATTGTTTGTTCATTCATCTGTTGGACATTTTTTTTTTTTAAATTTTCCTTACCATAGGGTGGTGTGCACTCTCTGGAGCGACAAAGAGAAGGAAAGTGAGAAATTACCTCCCCCCCCCAAGGAGGATGGCCATGCCAGACTCTTCTCCTCCATTCTGGGATCCCTCCTGGGGTTCTGGGTATGCACTTACACATGCCTGGTGTGATTCTCAAGTTACTGGGTCTGGGACTCAAACCATATAGTCAGCCATGTGGTTTAACCATCATGCCACTTGCTGGCCCTCCCGTTTTTTATTATCACAAATAAAGCTGCGATGAGCACTCATGTAAGTGTGTCTTTGTATCGATATATACTTTAGTTTCTTTGGCCTAAATGCCTGGGAATAGAATATCTGTTTAACTGCCAAAATTTCCCAAAGTACTTGTACCATTTTGCATTCCAACCAGAGGCAGAGAATCTATATAAGCTTTTTAAACCAAATGTTAAATATCAACTTCCTACAGTCTACTTTATTCATATAAACATTAAAAGGAAAATACCTTTCCCAAATAAAAAAAAAATCTAGGGGCTGGATGATGGCACAGTGGTAAAACATTATGCTCTGAAAGACTGACCCACAAGGGAAGGTTCTGAGTTTGTGTCTGGAGGCTCCCTGAGTTAGTTGGGCACATGCATACTAAGATTCAGAGCTGGCTGAAGTGAGGATGGATCAAGGCATCAAGACCTTGGAGTACTGTCTTACTGTCTCTCTTTGTCTTCCTCACTCATGGACAAAAAAATAAATTAATAAATAATAGTAATAACAATAAACAAAACTTTATTATTATTATTATTATTTTTTTTTGGAGAGGTTTTTTTGCTATAGGGCGCATGCGCTTGCCAGATAGACAGAGAGAGACATAGAGACAGAAAGTGAGAAATCACCCCCCAGAGGGGATGGTCACGCCGCCAAACCTGCTCCTCCTTTTTTTGCTATAGGGCGCATGCGCTTGCCAGATAGACAGAGAGAGACATAGAGACAGAAAGTGAGAAATCACCCCCCAGAGGGGATGGTCACGCCGCAATGCCTTCTCCTCCATTCTCCTCTTGGGATCTTGGGCACGCACGCACACATGCCCGGCGTGAGTTTTAAGTCACCAGGTCCGGGACGCGAACCACGGTCAACTAGGTGGGAGTCCAGTGACATAGCCATTACGCTAACTGCTGGTTCCCTAAACAAAACTTTAAAAAAACCCAAATACCGACTACATACAAATAACATCTTCCTATACTACATTATATATTCTTTGGAATAGTAAGGCTAGATGTGCATTATTTTCCCATTTTACAGATGAGGAAATTAAGGCCTGGATGATTAAGCAGACAATTAGTAGGTTTTAGACTTGAGGCCAGACTTCAAGCATACTGGAAGCTTTTTTCCTGCACTATGCTGTCTCTTTCCTATGTGCTGAAATTTGAGAGGCCCCAAAACATGGCTCTAGTCAACTACTGTTAAACAACAAAATCAAGGGGCTAGAAGGTGGCATAGTGGTTATGGCGCTGGACTCCCACATGGCCAATAACAGTTTGAGTCCTGTACCCAGCAGCTTGAAAATCACACTACGTGCATGTACATGTGTGCCCAAAATCCCAGGAAGAGAATGGGTGAGAAGACTGTGGCATGGCCATCCCCCTGGGGAGTGATTTCTCATTTTCCCTCTCACTGTCTCTGTCTCTTTCTGGTGAGTACATAAGCCCTGTGGCATAAACCTTAAAAAAAATCAATGCAGAACACATGACCAAATTATGAAAAGAAGTAACATGGAAAACAACTGCTGACTTCTTGTCAGTTATAGGAAGTTAGGAAGCCTTCCTCAGATCTGGGAATCCATACGATGGTTACACTGGTACCAAAACCCCTGAGCTAAACAGATTCCTAGGGCAAGAGCATGGTCATGGCCAATGCAATGCACAGCTGGAGTTAAAATGCACAGAAGGTCATGGGAAAATATTTGAGAGCTTTCTCTTTCTGACCCCGTCTGTCTCTCACACACAAATAACCCATTGAAAGTAAGTGTAGGTTCTCAATTTTTGGTGCCTAAAATGTCCAATCCCCTATCTGTATTTGCTAAAACTCTTCCACCTTCACTGTAGCAGAGCCTTGTGAAAAGAAAGACCATGGTGTAGGCATTGAATTGGGTTCAAATTCTGACTGCCACTTCTTAGTTGTGGTAACTGTAGGCAAGTCATTTTGCTTCTCTTAACCTCAGTTTCTTTATGTGCAAGATCAGCCTGGACACAGAGTTGTGAGAAGGGAGTATATACCAAGCACTACTCTGCCACTTACCTGCTGAGTTGGACAAGTGTCTTGAGCCTACTAAGTCTCATTCTTTTTATTTCTAAACTTGATGTAAGGATTAGAGATAGTATTCCTTATATACTACCACGGTCTCTAGGAATCCTGTCCTCTCTGCCTAGCCAGACCACTGATTCCTCCTTATGAACTCAAAAAGCCCTGGAATTCCACCAACCAGTCAACGTGGACCATGGATTCCACCAAAATGTTGCCCTCCATGTCTTCTCCATCCTCACAGCCCCAAGGTTGGAATGCCTCATAGCCCCAACGACTAGCACTTATTTTAAATTCACTCACTCAGCCTCAGTTTCCCCAGCTATAAGACAGATTCCACACTCTTCATCCAGGGCTGTTGGCAAGATCGGACTGCCACTCTGTTCTTCTGCTTCTTTTGATCACAGCGCTGACACTGAATAGCCATTATCTGTGTTTTGTCCATGAGCCTCTTATGTTTGAATAAACTTTCTGAGGGCCACAATTTTTGCCCAGAGTCAAGACCAGGGTCTGGTACTTGGCAGATTCTTAATACTGGTTGAGTTTGATGGCTTTTACTGTTAGTCCATTGCAGTAATTTGCATACATAATTCCAATAATCCCTAGATTGTGAAGTCCTTGAGGGAAGAGATCTTGTATATTGGATCAGATAAGCATCAGTCCTTCCCCAGTCTCTGTTTTCACAGCATGCACCCTTACCTGAAAAGATCTCCCTTATTCATTTTTGGGGCATTACACCCCCAACTAGGTTACAGGCTCCATGGCAGCATGGATCTTGATTGATTTACTTAATTTATTTATTTATTGTGAGACAGGGAAAAAAAAGAAAGAGGGCTCCCCAATGGGGTATAACCAAACTATAATCCCTTTATCTGCATTTCTCTATTTGGGCAGGATGTAGGGTATTGTGGCACAGTCACCCAACTTGTTTGGGTGGGAGGGGCAGGATATTTAAAAGAAATTATTCTTATCCCCATTTCTAAAACTGGGAGACAGCAAACACACACATATCTATGGTACGAGTGACTCGCAATTCTGCTGCTTTTGTGATGTGTCCTTGAGCAATTCCCTTAAGTAAGTTTGTGAAAGTGCTTGGAAGAGGTCCTTGACAGACTGTCCTTTCGCAGTCACAGATATTCAAGGCATAGGGAATCAGGCGAAGCCCTTACCTCCCATCTACATACTTCCCGATAAACTTGCTCCCGGTGTACTCCATGTCTCCCGCTTCGAGTTTCCAGCCGTTGGGATCCCAAATTCAGAGTACACGGCCTCACTATGACAACTAGGGCGGCTGGGCGGAGCCGGCGAAGCCCCGCCCACTGGAGCCCACGGATTCTCCCGGCAACTGCGCACGCTCCGTCGCTCGCGGTTGGGCTGCGCAATGCGCCTGCGTGGTAGGTTGCGCGTGCGCAGGTGCCGTGTGGCCCTCGGCGGTCGAAAGGGGACTTCAAGGAGACGGGGGCGAAGCGGCTGAGGGTGCCACCTCGGTCGAGGCTGCTGCCGTCATGCCGGGGATAGTGGAGCTGCCCACCTTGGAGGAGCTGAAAGTGCAGGAGGTGAGGCTCGTCCGGAGGACAGGCTAGCGTGGCACAGGGCTGCAGCTTCCTCGGCCTGGGCCCAGCCCCGCTTCGCCTCATCCCACACTGGACTCCGGACTCCCCCAGCGCCGGTCCCGCACCCCTCGACACATAGACAGGTCGACCCTGGAAATCCCTTCCACTGCTAGAGAATCGCCCCCTGGCCCACCTCGTCCCATTCGCCATGGCTCTAGACCCCTCCCTCTTGCCCACCCTCACAGTGACCTGCTTCTCCTTCCGTGAACAGTGGCGGTACATTTTTTTAAGCACTAACCAGGGCCTCTTCCCTTCCTTTTTGTGTCTTTAATCCTCAGACCTCCCTGCGCAGCGAGTATACAACCCTAGGTGCTCACTGTCAGGGAGAGAGACGGTCACCTTAAAGTAGGCTCCTCGATGCAGAGTTCATTAAAGTGGAGCTAGGAAGCCGCAGGAAAAGTGAGATGACCCTGGAGAGTGAATTTCTAACAGCTGTGGGAAGGTGTTTGCTAACAAGACACATTTAAAACGTCCATTATTCAAGAGATACCTGAATAATTACCATGTGCACATGCACTGGAAAATAAGTGACATGGTACCTGCCTTCACAGAGTTTGTGATCTGCTAGGGAGAAAGTCACATAGGCAGTTGCAGTATTATGTACTTAGTAGTTGAGAAGTGAAGACAGTCATAATGGTCAGGCCTTTTCTACAAGCCAGATAAGATACTAATAATGACTTGATATGTATTATTATCTAACCCAGCAACACTATAAGGTAAAATATAATTGTCTTTCCGTGTTATAGCTTAGGTAATTGCCCTGAGAGTAGAAATAATTTGCTCTGGGTGGCATAGCTGGTAAGGTGGTAGAGCTGGAATGGGAACCCAGGTCTGGCTTTCAAACCCATGCTTTTCAACTATGTTATGGGCACAAGCTCTTAGAGTGAGAAGGCCTAGCAGAAGCTTGTGTATGTTTGATGTCACCCCGTTGGTGGCAGCAGTAGGTGCTGAGCCTGGAGAGAAACCATGGGCTGAGACAGAGCTTGGAAGACAGGACCAAGACCAAGCAGTTTGGACTTCAATCCTGTAGGTGAGGTGGTAGGAAAAGATGGGAGGTTTTAAGACAGAGGAATGTTGTGGAAGGTCTAACTGGGTTCTTGAAGAACAGGCTGTATTGAAGGAAGAGGGCAAGATCCAAAATTATGGTTCGGAAATTATATACTGGGCACTATATTAAATGTCTTACCTGCATTATTCTATTTAATCTTATATGCCTGTGAGAGTGGCAACTGTTATTTTTCTCAATGAAGACATTAGTAGCTGTGTTCAAGGTCTTCATAATAAAGTGACATTTACTTCAAGGTAGGACAAGGGGTGCTGCCATGGACAGCAGTCAGTGTTTCTCATCTCACCATCAAGATGGGCTAATCCTTTGGGGCTGGCAGGTAGCACAGTGGTTAAGGACGCTGGACTCCCACATAGTTGACCATAGTTGGAGTCCCAGACCTGGTGGCTTGCTTTCTCACTTTCTCTCTCTTTCTTTCTGTTCCTCTCTGGTCAAATTAAAATAAGTAAAGTTAAAAAATAAATACCTCACTCTCTCTCTTAAAAAAAAAAAGATGGGTTAATCCTTTAATTTTTTTTTTTTTTTTTTTTGTGCTAATTTGCTATAGGGCACATGCACTTGCTGGAGAGAGATAAAGAAAGAAATAGCCTGTCCTGGAGGATGACCATGCTGCAATCTCTTCTTCATCTTCCTCTTGAGATTTTGGGCATACACACACACATACACACACACACACACACACACACACACACATGCCCAGCGTGTTTTCCAAGCCACTAGATTCGGGACTTGAACTGTGCAGTTGGCCTTGTAGGATTCAGCTGCCTAAAATCACCGTGCCATTGACTGGCAGAGACTAGGTTAATTTTGACTTGCTTTATTTTTTCACAAGTTTAAGTTGTTTCAACAAACATCTGAGGTTCTGCTTTATGCAGATGTTCTATACCTGAAATAAATTTGCAACTCACACAATTGAATTGAGAAACAGATAATTGCATAAATAACAAAAATACAAGACAAAGTATGAGGAAAACTGTACGAGCCATAGACATGACTTAAGGAAAGAGAGTAGGATATGAGATTGGATTTATTTTCTAAGCCTAACTTCTTGGTCGTCTTCATTAGTGCTTTTAGCATTGACAGGTACTGTCTCTTTATTTGTAATACAAGGCGATTGCAGTTGAAACGTTCTCTGAAGCTTTAATACAAAAGGAATAGAGAAGGCACTTGTGCATAATGTAAGATGTGGCTAAGTGGTATTTTAAAAGTGACGTTTATGGGCAGAGATGGGGAGAACTCTCTTAAGACAGTAGGATCTGAGCAAAGGTAAAGAG